GTTCTGATTTTTTATCATTTTGTGTAACATATTAATAATCTCACTATGGGACGTTTTGACTGACGGCACCCCAAATAGTCTATGCGTCAATTCTATTCGTTACGCTATTAAGCATTGCATGTGATTTGTATAAAAGCTTTTGAACTTAATCAACTCAGGCTTAAAAATCAAAGTCTGAAATCTTGTTTTCTTTTAGAAGCACTTATCTATCGCTGTTTGTAAATAAACCTAACGCTAAGGTTTTTTTTATCTAAAGAAGTATAATGTATGCAAATTTATATATAACTAGCCGATATATTTGATTTTATTGAATAGTCGGCGGTCATACATTGTACGCCCCAATAACGCGATAATACTTCATCTACTAAATGCAATGCTCCAACATCTCCAATTCCTTGTTTTTGCGTGACACGTCGCGAAACTATCTTATTCAATATGAAAGCTTATCTGATAGTTTACTATGATCGGACTATTAGAATTAATACATATTATTCATTCAAGGTTGTTGTTAATTTGAATATAAATGCGTAAATGTTTATCCGAAATTATGAATTCTATTACATATACAATATATCAATACAATAAAATACACCACATTCATCTGAAGCAGGAACGATGATTTTCTGTGGAGACAAAAAAATGCCGCGATTGACCGAAATTACGTAAAGTTGGCCAGCATTATTTCCGCAAATTCTGGCCGAATTAATATCAGCTGGCATCGTCCCTGATCTGATTTTGGTGATCGCCGGATCTTGTGTAACCAAAAAAAGCGAAGAAAAGAATAACTAAGATTTTATTATTTCGACTTCTAAGCAAAACTTTTCAGCGTCAAAATTTACATATATTTAAACCTTTTAATCTAGCCTAAAGCTAACCCTAGCCTCTAGCCTTAGATTGTAATAAAAATTTTATAATACTGGGTGATATATAAAAACCTTGTACGTACTCAAAAAATTTACAACTTATTTTCTCTATTATATACTGTAACAAAAACAATAAATAATACAGTAAATTATCAAAATTATAATTTATTCAGTAAACTTTATATATGATCACACTATATATATATAATGAAAACAAACTCAATATTCGCAAACTTTATTATTAAAAGTATTATGCAATTCTTAATAAAATATAGTGACGTTCTAAAACAAAACTACTCTTTCTAAAAATTTGATTCATCACCAAATTAGCTGTAATTTTTTAATAATAATAATAATCTATTACATTTAACAAATTTACTATGGATGGCGAAGCAGCATACATGATCATGTTTCAAGTTATGTATATATAATAATAACGCTTTTTTATTGATACTAAAAAAAACTCAACACAGGTATACAAACTTTAAGGTTTAGGTCAGAACCCTCGGATTTTTATAGCAGAAAAATTAGCATTAGCGATATTACGAAAACAATCAAACTAAGGGTATTCTCAAACATTTATCTCAATGGGCTCCAAAAAATCCGATTGGCCGGTTGGATCAGACGGACTAATCAGATTTTCTGTTGAGCTCATTGTAAATCCGGGATATATAGAATTAAAAATAAACCAATTTTGACTACATTTGAATGTGTGGTTGTTGTAATATCATGTGGTTGTCGTAATATCACTAGTGCTATTTTTGCTGCTATGAAAACTCGAGGGCTAATAATTCATACAATGTTAAACGACGACCTTACCCATCATCAAAAATTTTTAGAGTACTAATTCTGGACTTTATTGCATGTCCTGAATTAGCTCATATGTAATGTATATCTGATATTCACCAAATCCTTGCAGAATTGACTCTCAATAACTGATTCATTGGCTAAGTTGTCGGCTTAGTCGACTAAGTCACTATAGGTCTAATTCAGGGTGTTACTACTTTATAGACGAATTACCCAATGAAATTTTTAATCATTTTAATTATTTTTAGTGTTGCCAACCAAGTCGACTCGCCCCTAATCAACTTATAACACTACCCTCAATAATTAAACAATCACGATTATAATACGTATAACGATAATACCTTAATAATTCGCCAGATTAAGAAAAAAATAAATAAAGGATTTAGATTAAATTTAGTAATCCTATTTAGAGACGATTGAATAAATCAATGGGATCCAAATGATTTTTTATATTGCTTATATATAAGATATTGATGATCATTACCATCATCCGATTTTTTAACCATTGTATAGAAGATCAAGAAGATCAACGCATATTGGTTATTTATTCTGATCTTCATGAAACTTTCTACACTTCCAAATTGGGTTATTGTCATAAGTATACGTATCAATTTATGGTATCGTTGAAAAGCCTTTCTACTTTATTTAACTATTGTACTATGATTACTAATACAGTAATATGATCCTGTTAATCACGTGAATAACAATTTGCATAAAAACTGAATTACGCACGTAAAATTATGGTAATTTTATATTCATAGTTGTCATTATTTTGACATTTGTTGTGTAAAATATTTGACTTTTTTATCACTCAAAGACTATGACTTTAAACACCAAAGGTCCATGTGGCCAATGTGGCAGAAAGTACAGCGCAGGTAGAGCAAGTTCGCACTTGCTTCAATGCATTGCGCAAGCGTTTACTCCTTCTGATTTAATGAGTGAAGGCTATTTAGTTCGCATTTCTTCTGACGACTACCCAAGTTTGTATTGGATGTTTGTAACTATTCCCAAAGACTTTAATTTGAGAATTTTGGACGAATTCTTACGCGACATTTGGTTGACATGTTGCGGTCATATGAGCATGTTTTACATCGGCGATGACGAATATTCTTCTCATCCAATTTCTGATGATGGTACCTATTCCATGAACAAAAAAGTGGGTCAACTCTTTTCTCCAGGTTTGAAATTTAATTATACCTATGATATGGGTTCGTCCACAGATCTTAGGCTAGAAGTCATTGCAACTGTAGTTGCCTGTCCATGCGATGATATTACGATCATAATGAAAAATGATCCTCCCGCTTTTTTATGTGAAATATGTGACAAATCTGCTAAAATCATTTGCACTCTATGTGGTGGGAAAACATGCAAAGGCTGTAAGAAAAAACATTCTTGTGTAGTCAATGAAAATGATACATATATGTTATCACCTCTTATTAATTCCCCACGTACTGGTGTTTGTGCATACGGCGTAGTATAATCTTCAGGTATGTGACGTTACGAAATATTAGTAGCTTTTTTCCCTACATAATAATTTTGTGTTACTTTTTCTTGTACTAGTATAAGGCTATGTGTTGATGTGAAACCCAAGTTCTGGATTTGGAATATAAACCCTTTTTCTATATACATATATATACATATTTTTTTGTTTTTTTTTAGCATGGTACTTTTTTTCTTATACTAGTATAAAGTTGTACGTTGATTTGAAACCCAAGATTAGTATTTGAGGTTACAGATGTTAATTTTAAATTCAAGATTTTTGGTTAAAATGTATAAACACAACGCTCAAACTTATAAAAGACAATAACTCTTACTGCTTTAACAATATATAAATATAAAATAATATATATCTGATGCGTGTCATTTTCTTTAAACCCAGTTTTACTATTATTTAAGTGTTTTATTAATTTGTCTATGTTCAAGTTCGTGCTTAAAATTTCGACCTTAAATTTTCAGATCGACTGTATACGACTAGATTTATGCCCTTTAAAGTTTATTGTACAAAGTAATCACGATACAAAACCCTACATGAAAAATAAAATCATTTACAGAAAATTCAATGCTTTTATCGCAATGTAGGTAGGGTTTAAGTCACTATTATAATAGCCAGCTATTTACTACACCAATGCTAATTGTTTGAGGTGTCGTTCTTGATCTATCAAAATTAGAAAACGGAAACCGTTATAAGTCCGGAGCGAAACCACATGAGATTTGTTGTGTTACACGAATATGCAAGTGGAGACAAACGGAAAACTCAAAGTTACGTTTTTGATATTTTTATTATTGATGCATCAATAATGATACTTTTGATGCATCAAAAACGTAACTTTGGTATCACTTTGCATAGAAATTGAGCGTCCTCCGCTACGCTCCGGACAACCATATTATGATCAATTAACAATAGTAGCAAATAGACAAATAAAAATTTTAAAATTTATTACTGTTTTCTAATCGTTGTAGATGATCAATAATTAATAATAGCAAATAAAATTTTTCATAGTTCTCTAATCGTTGTAGCTGTTAAGCAAAGAAGTATATATAAATATTTAAGCTATATGATGATAAACTGTTTTGAAAATAATGTCTCAACATGTCAATTATTAATATAAATTTTCATCAGAGTTAGCAAATTAATTATACAAGACTTGAGTATGATACTTCAAGCAACTAAATGTTTTGCATCTTATGTTGTACTTGTTAAAAAAAATACATTTGTAAAAAGCAGTAAATATAAATTATTTTATAAGATTAACTATATAATATTTTTTGGTGTTAAGGTGACCTCTTTGGTCTTCTGACTTTTATTAATGACTTTTTGGTAATGTGATTCTATGAATTACTACAAAAGAATGTACAATTGGTTACATGTGTAACTTTTCTATATTACCTATTTAAGGAGTCCATCTGAAGGTTTCTCACAATTGTTGTATCTAACACCTTTATTTGGATGTTTAACTTTAAATCCTTTAAACCTGTAACCTATATTAACTTACTTGGTTATATCCAAATGCTCAGATTATCATCTCAAGCTTAGAACTATTTTATCCTCAAGATAAATTCTCTAGAGTTTTTTGTACCAATTTTTACAATAGATCTAGATATTGTTATAGCAGAACTAACACTTACAGTCAGAGTTATATTATTTAATCATTATGCTCTTGTAGAATTCATACAGACTCTAGTATCTACTCATAATATAACTTTAGTATTTTAGTATACCTCTGTTTTTTGTCCAACCTTTTGTTCAGACTTCCAATTTAAATAGTCTCTATAAGACTATGGTCATTTTATCAGTATATCAAGTTAGTCTAATATCTTTTTCTTTTGATTTGTTTTGGTGGTCTGGTTTGTAATATCTTCAAGATTTCTAACTCAGAGATTCTTATCTGTCTAGATACTATAACCAGGTACTATGATCTTGGTATCCATTTTTTCAAGTTAGCCTTTACAATAAGGCTGTTAAAAATCTGTTTATCTCTTTATTTAGCTCTTCTCAAATGGACTTCTTGTTATCTAATTTTAATAGATTTATATAATCACAAGAACTTATCTAATGTTTGCATTATTCAATTTGTTAGTTTGCATTTCTCTGTATAATTAGTTATATAGATGTTTTATAACCTGTTAGTCATATTAGTGTAACTGCTATTACAGGTATCCTAATCTAATTGTTAATAAAAATTACTATAATACAAATATTATATAGGTAATTATCCAAATTTTTACTGTTAATGGAATTTGAACACCCAATCTATTACTTGAAAAGTTAACAACCTGATCACTTTACTAGATTACTATATTTTATTAACTATATAATTATTTATTTAAATTAATAAATATTTATATATAATTAGATTTTACAAATTTTAAACTTTATATTGTAAAAGAATATGTAAAAACTAAGAATTATATTGTCTCATATAAAAAAAAATAAAATTTCTAATATATAATTTTACTATAAGATCAAAAATAATATTTATTAAATATGTTCAAATATTAATTTGTTTTAATTGTATTATTAAAACTTTATATTTAATTTTTAAAAATTCTTTAATATATATAAAATTAATTTTTTTTATATAAATTACTTTATTTAATATTAGCTTAATTGAAAAAAATATATAAAATAAATTACATCTTTTATAATTATAAAATTATAATTAATAAAAATACTAATATTCTTTAAAATTTTATATTAATATTTATATAAAATATTTTATAAATAGGAATTTATTTGAGGATGGCAATCCTAGTGTAGTGGTCGGATTGTCATCCTCCAAGTGGCAGGTCTAAGGTTCAAATCCCATCTATGATGAAATTTAGAAATTATATTTGTATTATAGTAACTGTCTTCTGTCGATCGGTTGGCCTCATGTGGCTGTTACACAGGTACACCAGGCCAGGTCCCCCCAGTTTTGGGAGCTTAAGGCATCTATGCAAAGTATAACATTACATGTACATAGAGGAATGTTAACTGGTGTTGCATAAGACTTCGGTACAAACCCATAATAAGTCCACCGGGTATAGAAGACTAAGGAACTAAGATGACGGAAACCCACTTGGAAATTCCCAAGTAAAGTGGTAGCATGAACGTTCGATGGTACTATTGGACTGGTTGAAGCCCATAAAACACCTTCATAGGAACTGAAGATTAAAACCGGACAACAAATATGTGTAGATAAGCACTTACCAACCAGGCCGCCAGGTTCACTAAAGGAAAAGGATACAGAAGTATACCATACCGAGCCATCTGGATTGGTAGTCTGGATAAATAAGACTGATGGTTCTGAGTTGTGGCTAGTAAGGGATGATGGAGAAGATGCCACTTGGAGGATGACAATCCGACCACTACACTAGGATTGCCATCCTCAAATAAATTCCTATTTATAAAA